GAACATATCTTGCTAATGACAGCGTGCGCAGGTCAGAGTGCTGAAGCTCGGAGCGCATTATTATTATGAAGCTAGGGCACATGCGGAGGACACACACACACACACACACACACACACACACACACACACACACACACACACACACACACACACACACACACACACACACACACACACACATGCAAAATATACTTGTTTTCAATTACATTTATTGGGCCCACTTACTTTTTCTTAGGCCCACCCACAAATGAGTTTCTGGCTACGCTAATGGTGACATATGACAGACTTCTCTGAGCTCCGCAGCCATTACACTTTTCATCTCGCGCACCCCCTAGCGGCAGCTCTCGCACCCCCAGGGGTGTGCGCACCACACTTAGGGAATCCCTGGTGTAGAGACCCTAAGTTCACAGTTCAAAAAAATAACTACTTCTATTTTTCTACACATTGCAGCAAGCTTTTACTACGGTTGCCACCTGTTCAGCCCTTACCCTACAGTATATTCTCAATTACACGAGGAAAAACTTGCAGTTTGAATTTAAATGAAGAATTATTAAATAATCTGAGGGAGAAACCAGGCTATTAAAAGGGAAAAACATCTAAACATTCCATGCTGTCATTCTATTTCTAAAACACAGAAACTGTTTCTGTGTTTTAAAAATAGAACGACAGCATGGAATTAGAACCACGACACAGCAAGAACACACCTAAGATCTAAACATTAATTATCTTTTAATTCAGTACATTTTTATATTTTTGTGAATTAATTTTCTGACTTGTTTGCCCAAAGAAATAAAAATAAATAATACAATTTCAAAAAGCAAATAGATGAATTAATTAATGATTACTGGAGCGACTCTGTGACTAGTGTCTCTGGATTGGATGTTTCCCGTATATCGGCACGTTCCATTTGTACTCGGTACACCCCCCCCCCCCCCCCTCGAATCTCCCCCATCTTGAACTCGGAAAATCTGAGGTTTGTAATCCCACTTCGAGGTTCAACATAGCAGCTCCTCGAAAGGTATTTATTTTACAAGACACACTTAAGGGTGCCTCTAAAATAAGTGTTGGGTAGTTGTTTTTTCCTCCGAGGTAAATGGAATCCACAATAAGGTCTGTTGTTAACAACATGGACTCTATTCTTTATGATGTCTATGGTTAACAGGATGATTTAGCCACGATTAACCATGGAAGTCTGGAGCGCTTGCTCTAAAGTAAATGCCGTTCATAAACCCATTCACAAACGCCAGAATTAGCATGCTCACTTAAATTTAGACTGAGCAGGCAAAATACGAGCAATTTCAGTTCACAAAAACTATATGAACAAGTTCTTGAGAAGTTGTTAAATGAACTTGTTTAAACACAACACTGATGTGAAGTTTCACTTTAACCTGTTTTTGAAGTGTTATAGATATCCTGGAATAATGAATAAGATTGCAACGATTAACCGGTTTGAATATGGTGTGAAACAAAAACTTGTCTCCATGTTGACTAATCTCTTATATTTGTATGAATTTATTGCTGCCTTGAATGTTTTTTTTTCATTAAAATTTAATATATATTTAGTTTTTAACACTTATTGTATTGTAATGCTGGGATTGTTCTGAATTTAAGAGGCTTAGGATAGAGCTCCTAAATGGGATCATTGGTCAGAAAACAGTGATTTTCTTAGTGTAATTTATTAGCTGTGAGCAGAAGACATAGGTTGAAATAATATTCCAGTAGATATTTACCATCAAAATTACAGGTAAAAGAAATAATTATGGTCAAAAAGGTTGGAAAAATAGAGCTGGCAATGGCATTGGTAGCTGTTTTATTTGATAAAATAAATGCAATGAAAAGAGATGACATCACCACAGGCTGTAATAGGAGACCAGAACAGGAAGAACAGGACGCAGAGGGCAGAGCTGACAGCAGTGTGGGGCAGGTGTTTCAGTGTTGATCAGATTATGAAAACCTACGTAATGACTTCATTTAAATCTCTGGGGGATTTTTATTTTTATTTGATTTATAACAAGGAAGCACCCTCATGGTATTTCCTAACCTTTACTCCTGCAAAGAAAATTGGTCTTTATGTAAAAAATGTCTTTTGAGTCATATAAAATCTGGATTTTGAAAAAAAAAAAAAAAAAAAAAAAGATTCAAAGCATTTATATTATAAAAATGAAACAGGAAAAATTTGAATAAGGTGCAAAAATTATTTTCTGTCAGTAAGTACTGGGCCATGAAAAGACATATTTATGTTATGCAAATCATTTTTAGATCCATGTTTGGAAACAAAACTCATTTATTTGGAAAATGACATTTTGCAGTCAGGTATGATTAATTACAATGAGTTAAAAAGGTAATACTATAAATTTGTCATCATTACATTGTTAGGAGCCATACATTTTAAAAAATCTTTTCAGAGCCCCCCCCCCCCCCCCCCCCCCAAAAAAAAAGATTTGTACTAAGAAAAAGATTAATTTGACAAAATTTCATGTTTAACCCATATGCATTAGATACTCTCGTTTTTATAGACATAACCTTGCTGTTCTCTTCACTCAATTCAAGTCCTGCAGGTGATAAATGCAGATTTTTAACTAATTATTTATATTATTGAAATATAGATTTATGGATCCTCAGTAAAATGCAATAGAAAATTATAGGATCGTACAACAGACAAAAAAATAAAACTAAAGTCTGAACGTTGAAAAAAGGTTTTCAGATATGATCTTAAAACCATTTATTCATGTGTAACATTTAAAATATCATCTGAACCTGAACAGATTTAGCTTAACAACACATTTTTTCCAAACTCTGACATAGATTTGGATATCAAATCTTTATTTGACTCCTTTTATATTTCCTAGAATAAACTGAAATATGGCACATTTATTGATACCACCATATTTTGCACCACTATGGTTAGATATTAACCAATAAATTAGGTATTTATTTTATTGTTTTGATATTTTACAGCTCTATAATAACAAGCATGATAAATCTATTGCTGTTTTCTACTAATTGCTTGTGCTGCTGGGAAAAATGGCAATGATAATGCGTATTTATAGCAGGTTTATCTGATGGAAGTAGCATAAAAGTACAAAATACTGCGTGGTGTTTCTTCTAAAACTACTTAACATTCAGTCACAATCCCACTTACAAACTCTAAAGTTTAAGGTGTTCAACACAAACAAGCATCTTTGTCTAAATTTACAGTCACGAGAGGATTTAAAGCCCTAAAAATATGGAAAATATATTTTACACATGGAGCCTGTTTGTTAATTTATTTTGTAATCTGTGTATTATTGTGTTTAATGATTCATGTGCTTTACTTTGCTTTTAATGGCTTTAGAGTTAATTAGTCTGAGGAGAAGAGCTGGCCGAAGGGAAACTAAAAGTCTTACTTTGAATCGTTTTCATTTAAAAGAATGGCGAAGGAACTAATTTCTGTATCAGAAATCATCTGTCCTCACTGAGCAGAGGAGATGGGGCTTTTTGTTTAAATAAAAACTGCAAATAAAAGAAATGGAGGGATGAAACAAAAGGCAGGAATGATAGAAGATCAGAACAGCTGATGAAGGAGGGATGGATGCTGTATGGAGAGGGGGGAGAGGGGAGATTTCGCCCTCCTTGTGGCTGCTGCAGTGCCGAGCTGGAAACCGATTCATCACGACCAAATAAACTACAGAGAGGAGAAGAAACAGAGAAGCCGGAGAGATGGAACACATACTCTGGAGTCAGCATGCAGTCTGTCATCCGCTGCCTCCTGTTTCCTCTACTTATCACTCGGAGAACAGGCCTGCGTTGCACACGCTGAAACACATCTCGTCCTCTGAGTTGATCTTTCCTCTGTACTTTGCAGATCTCAGTCAAAGCCTGGGAGACATTGTTATGTCAATATTATCTTTCAGCGTTCTGAATGAAGCCTCTAACAGCTCTTTCTTTTAATTTGGCCCAGGAGAGAGTCAGAGAAACAGGCAGGCTTTAGTTCTCATCCACTTTTCATGTGTTCCTTCAGATTTGTGCTGCATGCTCTGCAGTGTTCCAGACTCTGCCTCTCATTTATCACTAAAATGACCAGGCAGGGAGCGTACTCGGTTGGAGATTTTGTGGAAAACAATTAGCTGAAAATGGCTGAAGGCCAAAGTGAGCTGCAGACTTTGGTGTTGATTCACTACAATCATTTTATAAACGGTGAGTCATTTCGGTTAAGAATTAGATTTTTAAAGCAACGCCTGTGTGTGCAGGTTTGCACCATGTCTCCAGACCCTGAGAAATCTTTAACATTTTAATGAAAGACAGAACCAAAGCTTAAAAACCTGCGACTGTCTAATTTTAATCTGACTCCGTTATTGTATTGTCTACGCCAACTCTTCTGCATCATTTCTCTTCCATGTGGGGAGATTAAATTAATCAAGACCAATCAAGAAAGCTCTGCATAAGAATAGATGAATGAGGCTGAGGTTGCCATGGTGATACCTGAACCTTACACTGTAGCTATAGGTAACAGAAGGGCTCCTCGCGGCTGCAGTAACAGCCTGTTTGAGCTCTAGTTTAATCCAAAAATATCAGCTTCCAGCATTCAGCTAAATGAAAGGTTTCTTTTTGCAGACATTACTTTGCTTGCTCTTTATTTTGTGAGAACTCAGCACCACTTTTCCTGATGTGGATGTTAATTATAAAACATAATTACTTATGTATTTTATCCAGCATTTAACTTTCTTTATGTCATTGATGATGCTTTCAACTGATTTTCTAGCTTTGCACCTGCAAAAATAACCAGACTGTGTTTCAGTTACTATGGAAACCATGAGCTTTCATGTAATCAACCCAAAGACCTCACTAAAGCAAGCATTGCCAATTGGCAGCAATTTTAGCAAGCCCTCCGCGTGGTTGTTTTGGGTAAGATGCACCCCTTTCTCACTGAAAGAGGAGAAAAGCATAAATGGACCTTTATGTAGAAGAGCATCATTCAAATCTGATCGGAAGCACTTTAAAGCCCATGTTTTGTCTCTTAGGTGTTGTGGCATCTCGACATCTTCCGCAGAAGCTTTCGACAGCTTACCAGTCACAAGTGCATGGAGGACTCATGCATCTTCTGCGCTCTGAAGGTAAAAACCTCTTGGTCCTGCACTTGTCTGTATAGGTGTTGCAGAAAACCCAAATCCAATTATTCTGGTGTGTTTCTGAGCGGTTCAAAGACATAGAGAGCAATCCAAGTTAGTCAGATTTACTTCACTGATGGTCATTCATTTGTAAACTTTGATGGAAACTCACCAGCTGACTGAAGCTACGCAGCCACGTTATGCACCAGCTCTGATGAACATAAAGGAATGGGTAATCAATGGCAGCTTTTCTTCTATAGCACCTTTCATACACAGAAGAAATTCAATGTGCTCTAATCCTATTATTAATTTAAATTTTACAATTTTGAGGGTGGGGGAGGGGGTCTACTGGTGCAACATTTCTGCTTGGAATTAGCATGCCCCCCCCCCCCCCCCCCCCCCCCCCCCCCCAGGGCATGTTGGGTTCCTCCAGCTACTACCACAGACCAAAAACATGCATGTTAGTTAGATTGGAGACTTTTAATAGTCCGTAGATGTGACTCCTTGTGTGTCCCTGTGATGAACTGCAGACTTGTGCAGGGTGTCCACCTTCCACCCAGTGACTGCTGAAAGTAAACACCAACTTCCTACTGACAATTAAGTGGGTCAGAAATTGAACAAAATAATGATTTTTTGAATTTGGCTCTTATCACAAAAGAAGATTATTAAAACTGTATTCCAATTTGCAAGTATGGTTTTTTTCATGATGGCTTTGGATTGATGCACTTCCACCCATTTCAAGAGCTAAACTCATCTTTATCCAGTGGTGTTTAAAAATGCCAGCACAAAAACGAGGGCATGCAGAGTGTGACACGTCTCTCTACCTCCAATCTTTCCAAATGATGTCCAGACACTCTGTGGCGCAGCATCCAGCAATATGTCCCACATGGCTGCATGGTGGCACAGTGGTTAGCACTGTTGCCTCGCAGCACGAAGGTCACAGGTTCGAAACTCGGCTGCGGCCTTTCTGCGTGGAGTTGCGTGTTCTCCCCATGCATGCGTGGGTTTCCTCCGGGTACTCCGGTTTTCCCCACAGATCACAACATGCCCTATAGGTTATAAATTGTAAGTCACTTTGGATAAAAGCATCTGCCAAATGAATAAACATAAACATGGGTTTAATGTCAACCAACACTCTTAACTCAGTAAGTTTTGCAGAAATTCATCAAAACATTCTGCCATAGTTAAGACTCATCCCCCTACCCCTCATACCAAACTCCACATATTGAACAACATCCTTGTTTAAAACTGTGAGCTGTTTTGACTGTTTGCAGCTACAGTCAAGATATCTCCCACACACAGTCAGCCTTAGCAAGCGAGATGATGGCAACCAGTGGCGGCTGGTGACATTTTGTTTGGTGGGGCGCGTTTATGCTGTGTGTTTTCAGATGTGTTAACCACATATCACAACTAGGGGTTACAGAAGTACCATTCTTATGATAGAATCCATGTTTTCTACCCCAACAACACCCAATGACGCTAAATAAAAAGGCTGAAAAAAAGTTAAATACACATACTGAGAAAAACACACAGTAGCAACATGATCCTGTTCACAGAACCAGCCGTTTTAATTAAAGCCCAGACCCACCTCTTTATAACAATATACGTACCGTTACGCTACCTGCGAAACTCAAGGAACTCAGCAGCAAAACCAACAAAGTAAATTTCATGAAATCTAAAGCATGAATGTAGTTTTACCTTAGCTGCTTTTTGACCATAAAAATCTGTGTTATGGTAAAAAAAAAAGTCCACTCAATTCATGTTATCCAATGTCGCAACGTCACACTGAGTTGATTCCTGATTGTCTTGTGCTTTTTATGTATTTTTTTTATATTTTTTTATTCCTATCTTCTTCTTCCTGTGAGATTGGTGGGGCAGAACCCTAGTGCCCCCTATGGACTGGCTGCCTCTCATGGCAATGTGATTTTGTAACAGTGGGGCATTACACAAACAGCATTATTAAATATTAACCAAATCAGAATGACTCCGTCTTTTTAACACAAGTTTAAAATTCAGAGATGAAGAGCAGTGGCTGATTGCATCTATGGGAATGCTCAACTTTTCATAGATAGAAATGTTTTTTAGCCTTTAGTGGTTTAGGCTGAAGTTTTAGTCTGACCAGGGAAAGGTAGGGAGACAGTAGGAGACAACACTTGATAAACCTCCATCCTTCAGGAAAGGAGACATTCATTTGTGTTAACATGCAAAGTAAAACAAAATTTAATTTTATAAAATTAATTGCATTGATAAATTAAGAAACATGCTTTTATAAAGTATAGCAGGTGAGACATCCAGACGTAGGAATGTGGTCACTTTTCTGACCTCTAACAAGAACCTTTTCTCTGAGAGCAAAATAAAGTAACAAAAACACAATACATGGAGACGGCCCAGCTTTATATCACCTCTATAAAATGCTTTGTTTCCAAATGGCAGTTTTTTTTATTGAGCCTTGTTGTGAGAATACAAAAATACAACTATTTGTCATTTTCTTGCAGACATAAATAACTTCTGTGGAAAAGTCATTTACTTGAAAATATGTTCAAAAACTTATATTAATCATTCAGCTTTTACAATGACTTAACAAACATATGTGCAACTGTTGGTGCCATATTCACTAGAAGAAGAAGAAGAAGAAGAAGAAGAAGAAGAAGAAGAAGAAGAAGAAGAAGAAGAAGAAGAAGAAGAAGAAGAGGAAGAAGAAGAAGAAGAAGAAGAAGGAGAAGAAGAAGAAGAAGAAGAAGAAGAAGAAAATATCATTTCTATAGCGCCTCTCAAGATAAAAATCACGAGGCACTTCATAAAAACAAAAACAAAAAATATAAAATTTGTAAAAATATAAAAAAGCATTTCGAAAATGTTTAAAAATATATTTCAAATGAGCAAGAATAGGCAATTGCGATTTAAAAGAAAAAATGTTAAGAAAGAGAGAGAGTGAATAGGAAAGAGGGAAATCAGTGGATCCTGAGGAAGGTGGAATAGGTGGGGAGAGCAGAATAAAGAGAGAGTGGTGAAGAAGGTCATACAAAAGCCAGCTTGAACAAGTGAGTCTTCAGCTGCTTTTTGAAGGAGACCACTGAGTCCACTGATCTCAGGCTCACTAATAGTAAATACCACTTCAGAATCACATTTATTCTTTGTGCAGGGCTGCTTGTAGCACTGAAACAAATAATTTTATATTTTCATCTTTGTTCTCTTGTTTATACAGGTGCTGGCCAGTAAATTAGAATATCATCAAAAGGTTGAAAATATTTCAGTAATTCCATTCAAAACGTGAAACTTGTACATTATATTCATGCAATGCACACAGACCAATGTATTTCCAATGTTTATTACGTTTAATTTTGATATTTATAGGTGACAACCAATGAAAACATCAAATCTGGTATCTCAGAAAATTAGAATATTCTAAAGGCCAATGAAAAAATGTTTGTTTCTCTAATGTTGGCCAACTGAAAAGAATGAACATGAAAAGAATGTGCATGTATAGCACTCAATACTTAGTCGGGGCTCCTTTTGCCTCAATAACTGCAGTAATGCGGCGTGGCATGGACTCGATCAGTCTGTGGCACTGCTCAGGTGTTATGAGAGCCCAGGTTGCTCTGATAGTCGTCTTCAGCTCCTCTGCATTGTTGGGTCTAGCGTATTGCATCCTCCGCTTCACAATACCCCATAGATTTTCTATGGGGTTAAGGTCAGGCGAGTTTGCGGGCCAATCAAGGACAGGGATACCATGGTCCTTGAACCAGGTGCTGGTGGTTTTGGCACTGTGTGCAGGTGCCAAGTCCTGTTGAAAGGTGAAGTCTGCATCCCCATAAAGTTGGTCAGCAGCAGGAAGCATGAAGTGCTCTAAAACTTCCTGGTAGACGGCTGCATTGACCCTGGACCTCAGGAAACAGAGTGGGCCAACACCGGCAGATGACATGGCACCCCACACCATCACTGACGGTGGAAACTTTACACTGGACCTCATGCAACGTGGATTCTGTGCTTCTCCGCTCTTCCTCCAGACTCTGGGTCCTTGATTTCCAAAGGAAATGCAGAACTTGCTTTCATCAGAAAACATAACTTTGGACCACTCAGCATCAGTCCAGTCCTTTTTGTCCTTGGCCCAGGCGAGACGCTTCTTGCGCTGTTTCTTGTTCAAGAGTGGCTTGACACACGGAATGCGACACCTGAATCCCATGTCTTTCATGAGTCTCCTCGTGGTGGTTCTTGAAGCGCTGACTCCAGCTGCAGTCCACTCTTTGTGGATCTCCCCCACATTTTTGAATGGGTTTGTCGTCACAATTCTCTGCAGGGTGCGGTTATCCCTAGAGCTTGTACACTTTTTTCTACCACATTTTTTCCGTCCCTTCGCCTGTCTGTTAATGTGCTTGGACACAGAGCTCTGCGAACAGCCAGCTTCTTTAGCAATCACCTTTTGTGTCTTGCCCTCCTTGTGCAAGGTGTCAATGATTGTCTTTTGGACAGCTGTTAAGTCAGAAGTCTTCCCCATGATTGTGGTGCCTTCAAAACAAGACTGAGGGACCTTTTAAAGGCCTTTGCAGGTGTTTTGAGTAAATCAGCTGATTAGAGTGGCAGCAGGTGTCTTCTATATTCAGCCTTTTCAGAATATTCTAATTTTTTGAGATACCAAATTTGGAGTTTTCATTAGTTGTCACTTATGAATATCAAATTTAAATGTAATGAACATTGGAAATACATTGGTCTGTGTGCATTGCATGAATATAATGTACAAGTTTCACGTTTTGAATGGAATTACTGAAATATCTTCAACCTTTTGATGATATTCTAATTTACTGGCCAGCACCTGTAGAGTTTTATTTGGACTGTGCCTGATGAAATCATCCTAATCTCTTCAAATGAATGCAAATATAGATTTTCTCACACTATTAAGAAAGGCTTTGAAATGGGACTTCCACTGCACCTGGGAGTTTTAAACCAAGTGCCTTGCATTCTGACAATCAAACTATTTCAATTAAGTTGTTTTATTTCTTATTATTTGTTGCTACCATGCCAAATGATTTACAATTTTCAAATTAAATGGACAATTTTGGACAATTTTATTAAACTTACTGAGTTGTAAAATAAAGGTAATTTATGTATCCTCAGGTAAAGACACAGGGAAAGTTCTGGTACGGCTTATAAAGACGGGAGAATTAACCCATATGTTCCCCTTATCAAAGATGCCCAGCCTTATACAGTTGCATATTTTGAAAGAATAACTTCTCAAATGTATACTCTGATAACAAGTAGACTTTATCTCTGAAGCACTACGATTTACATCTGAAAAAGTCTTAGATGGAAAGGCTTAAAATAATTTACACAGAGTGCAGTTACACATTTATGAAAAAAGGTTGTGTGATTCAGTGATTAAAACAGTATTTACTTGTTCACACATCAAAAACTGCATAAAGTCAAGCCTAAACAATCAATAACTTATATAAATTATAATAAATTAATTATAAACAGTAAGTGTTGTATCCTTAGTTTAAAGCACAATAAATAACTTATTTTTCTTATTAGTATTTCGATCACATAAAAAAAGCACTGAAACAGGGAGTAAGAGGGGAAAAATATATATGTTTTGTTTTCAGATTTAATGCTAATAGGAATGAAAAAAATATCATTGGGCTGCACTGAGCATGTGGGGATTATAACTGAAGACCTGTTGTGGAACACCAGTGTGTTTAGCCCTCATTCTGCCATCATCATTAGCCTCAGTCTTTTACAACACCACTGCATTTGAGTTTCATCCTCAGAAGGGAAGTGCACATTATTTAGAAGGCACAGTAAATTAAGAGCCTGCTTGAAAAGCAAAACGTGACAAAAAAATACTTATCATCACATTCATTTAACATTCCCCTACCTTTTGAAACCACTTATTCCTGGAAAAGGTCACGAGAGCTGCTTTCTATCCAACAGCCACTGGGCAAGAGGTGAGGGATATCCTGCAGGTTACTAGTTCATCACAGGGACATATAGAGACAAAGAAGACACAAACATTTACTCCCTCACAGCTAGGAACAAATTGGCTAGATAATCTGTTTTAAGATTTGGGATTAAAAATACAAGAGAGAATGTGAATGGGAGCAGGAGGTGCTGCTGGAGCAAAGGGAGGGAGGGAGGGTCACCGTGAGAGGGGGATTCTTCATGAATGAATTAATACCGGAACAATTTTGGTGAAAAATAATTCAGGGAGACGGTGGGAACAAGGAGTAAAATAGTTTACTGTTTTTAACCTCCTTGGGCCCTGTGTCCACATATGTGGATATTGGCTCCTTGCACTTTAAAATTTTATTTTCTTCTTCTTACACGTTTTTGTCATTATTTATAGACACTTTATATTGACTTAGATAAAAAATATTTATTTGTTGCCTTTCTTTTTTTTAGGATATTTGACAACATTTTATTTAATTAATTTTGATTTAATTTAAATGTTTGTAACTTTGTTTCTGTTAATTACAGTCGACTAATCTGTAAATGCTAGATATGATTTTTCTTTTAATTCAAACCAAATAAAAGTTTGGGTCCCAGGAGGTTGAAACAGTACTTCTATGTTTACCTGCTTACACTAGAGATATTCTTCTGCAACTACTACATCAGATTGTGTCTGTGCACCGATTACTGTCAAATGTATCTGCCAGTCAAACAGGGATCATTGGGTTCAATTGAAACTTTAGTGGACTGTATACAAGAGGTGCACTCATGGTTGGCTTCCCATTGTTTGGCTTTTAATGGGAGCAAAACCAAGGTCATCATTTTACCAAAAATGAGCTCCAGCTGCATAAAGGGGACCTCCTATTGTTTGCCCAATCGGAGACAACTGCAATCTCAGATTTGGGTGTTAAGTTAGATTCTGCAGAAACATTCGACTCCCAAATAAATACAGCGGTCTGTTCTCGTTTCTTTCAGCTTCAGTGCTTGTCTAGGATTAGGTCGAAGAAGCTCTCAAAAAGTATTTCGATTGTAATCTATGCTGGACTGAGTCACTCTACACTTTCATGGCTGCAGATGGTCCAAAACGCACCAGCAAGTTTTATCTTTGGAGTGAAGAAGTGGGAGCATAACACTTAACACTCTACAAGGGCTCCCTGTGAAAAACAACATAGAAATCAAGGTTCTAGTCAATGTCTTCCATTCACTTGCTGGAACCGCTCCTCCCTGTTTATAAGCGCTTATTAAAATAACTAGATCTCTTTGTTTCATGGACAAGGATCTGTTGGTGGTCCCTAGGTCTAGACGTGAATTGCCGAGGTGATCGAGCATTTGCAGTACTTGGCCTGAAACCTGGAACAAGGTCATTGTTCATCAGACAATCTAAATCAATCTGGAGTTCTAAGCCTTGTCTTAAGTAGCATTTTAGATCAATCTGCTTTATTTATTGGGTTTTATATTGATTCATTCCATTTTTATTGTTTTTCAGTGAGTCCTATTGTCACATTTCTTTGTATGGCGCTCAGCTTGTTGGGCTCCCTTGATTGGTGGCAGATAAAGTGATATGCAAATGAATTAATTAAATGAAAATAAAATGAAGTTTTTGGCCAACAAGGTAAAAAGTAATATCAGATAAATCCTTCACAAAATGTAACCCCTAAATCAGTCATTTGATCCATGGGACAGATGATTACATTTAGCTGGCAGTGGTGAACCTATATGTTATCCAGATTTTTTTGTTACAGGCAAAAACAGCAATGTTTAAAACCCCACTCATCAGCTGAGGCTTTAATACTCACAGTCGCTGAAATAAGAGTGAGCGATGATACTTGAAGTAAATGTTTATTGACATTGGTGGCTCAAGTTCAACTTTTGTTTCTTTAACATCAAATTTTCTCCTTTTCATTCTTTGTACATGAATCCATCCTCCCTGTTCCTTCACTAATGGATTAAAACCCCTTAAATGTGCACCAGAATGGAGTTACCTGTACCAGAAACTGCTCATGCATATTCACGCTTCTTTACAGCAGAGCAGGTTGAATCTCACTTGTGTTTAAGCAGGTGCTGATACTGCAGAAGATTAAGATCTGTAACATACTCTCCTGAGCCAACCATATGCAGCTCTGCTAAAGTCATTTGTTGCACAACAAACGTGTGTGTTTCTGAGAGGATCCTGATGTCATACTTGTGCAGTGGCACCAATGTGTGTGCTCCACATGCTCCACCTCCAGCACTTCTACTGTAATTAATTGGCTGGGTGAAAGTGCTGAGCCAGCACGGCCCACACTGGGACGCCAAACAGAAAACACACAAATCTTTACGTGCACCTCCAGATATTTGTTGCACATGTACCCAAGATTGTGTGAGTCATCTGTGGGTGCAGAAATCAAAGGTTCTGTCACAGCATTGAGCATTCCCATTTTCCCGTCAGCTTTCATTAACCAACCTGTCAACTAACAGCTGTAACGCTGCTCTTACAACTTGTTTGTAGTTGTTCTCCCCCACAGCCACACAGATTAAAGTTGCTGAATAACCGAGTGAGACACGCACCAAATTAACTTCAATGGTGTGTGAAATTTTTAAACAACTATGTAAGAGATCAAGAAATGTAAAATAGGATAATTTCCTTGTTTTATTTTGGGAGAGTTATGTGTGAATTATCTGCAGCTTATAGAGACACCACGGTCAGAGGAGGCCTGTGATTTTTTTTCATCTGGAAATCACTGCAACACTATCTCTCTTGCCAGGGAATAGTTCCACAAACACACCTCCAGATGGATGCCTGACACACACACACACACACACACACACACACACACACACACACACACACACACACACACACACACACACACACACACACACACACACACACACACACACACACACACACACACACACACACACACACACCTCTTACTCGCTCCACCTCATCCTTTCTTGTTCTCCTCCTTATCCTTCTTTCTTCCTCCCTCTGTAGGGTATATTCCCCCTCCATTCTCCTTGGTGCAATGCTGCAGTCAGTGCACACACACACACACACACACACACACACACACACACACACACACACACACACACACACACACACACACACACACACACACACACACACACACACACCATCAGCGTGGCTGCCAACTGTCAGCTCGCCTATTATTTTATAACATTTTCACACCGCTCTGATCACAGCCATTTTAATAAATGCTTAATGTCACCTAAATGTCGTACAACTGAACTCATAACAAAACAATGTATTACAATTTTCTGTCAATAAATGATTATGAACTAAATTAATACCATGTTTAGACTTAATATTGTTTTTCTAAACAATTCTACTACAAGGCTTGGGTGTAAACTTTGGAACCACTCCATTTGGCTAACCTTAACATAAAGGAACTCACTTTTTTTGTTAAGTAAATAATGAAATAAAAGAACATGAATTTGTCAGCTTTGTGGTCACAAAGATGTTTTTTTTAATAGAGAGCCTAAGTCACTCCCATCTACTTCCGGACCATGGGTCCCCGGAAGAACGAAAAAAATGATTGCAAGTCAATGGGGCTAAAAACGCTATCTTCTAATTCCGCTTGTTGTGTGCCATGGATTTCACATATGATGTCCGTGAATTTTAAAGACGCATTTTGATACCAAGAAAGTTCTTATTTTCAAACGGGGGGGAGCTTTATTTTAGGTTTCGTGGGAAAATAAGTCCAGAACCACAAATGCGCATCATTGAACCAGACACGGAGAAAAACAGGGAAAATGTCTGTAAGCATCGCCCATATTTCTAATAATTAAGTCTGAAATTTGTGGTTAAGACAACTGGAATAATTTCAGATATGCTATCTACAAGGGAACTTCTCTAAATAAGCAGTTTTATAGTTAAAGACAACTATAAAACTATATAAATACTATTGAGTACAGATACTCAATTAAATACACAAGCCTAATGTGTAAATCTTTAAGAGCAAGTGCAGTCAATAATTTCAGTTTTTGTTAAAATGTACATTTTATTTTGTTCTTAGTTTTTTTGCCAGCTTGAGTTTTCAGTCTCCAGCAGCCTGCTTGTCTCTTTTCTGCTGTGGCAAAGCATACACCTCAAATTGCAATATTCAGCTCTGCCAGTAGGTGGCAAAAACACCACATTGAAGTAGATATCCTGTTTTCAACATTATAATTAGTCAACAGTGAGCGTGTTTGAATGAGGAAGGAACTTTTGAGCATGCACACTAGCTGTCTTCTGTAGCAGGGGTGCTGTCGGCCATCTTCTCAGGCATTCAATTCACGGATGCTAATTGGCCCAAAAGTTTCCAGTTCTCCCTATAATCACATGCAATTAGTTGTTAAGCTGCCATTAAGGGGCACTTTTCACAGTGCCCCAAGAGGGAAACTAGTGAGTCTGGTGCAGGAAATTATCTGTTTAATGAGAGACTGCTGATGAAAATGAGGAGACAATCATTCAGATTGGATGTAGGCTATCACAACCACAACCTCCCAACCTTCTAGTCAAGGAACCACCTCTCAGAGCTTCATTTACCATCAAACCGCCAAACGGGACCTGCCCCCTTCACGTCATCACGTTCACCCTTAAAACTGATACCACTCTTCCTCTCTCCACTCAGTCATCTTTTCTTATCAAGATTCATGCCGAGTATTCAGAACTTCCCAGCAAACTTTATATACCGTCACCTGACCAGTAAGCCAGCACACCCACTCGTTCTTGTTTCCCTTCCAGACACAAGCAGACGTCTCAAGATTAGACCCAGCGTTCCCACTTCCACGTTTGGGTCTCATCACACACCACATTGAACTCTCTCTCAGCTCATTCCACGTCTAGTCTCTGACAAACAGTATAGGTCCTCACAATTAACCCACCCACTGTCTTTATGGGTGACCCCGCGAGGAAAGTTGACCATTGAGCAGGATTGATGGTTTATCCCTTGAGGTCCACGTGGCAGGGGTGAGGTGGTGCTCACTCTTCACCTCTGCCATATGGACTTCAAAGGATAAACCATCAACCCTGCTCAATGGTCAACTTTCCTCGCGGGGTCACACCCATTAGGACAGTGGGAGGGTTAAGCAAAACTGACAGCTGGAGGAATATAAATATACACTCACTGGCCACTTTATTGAGTAAACCTGCTTGTTAACACAAATTACTAATCAGCCAATCACATGGTGGTAACTCAATGCATTTAGGAGACATGGTCATGTCAATCTGCTGCAGTTCAAACAGAGCTTCAGAATGGGGAAGAAAGGTGATTTAAGTGACTTTGAATGTGGCATGGTTGTTGGTGCCAGACAGGCTGGTCTGAGTATTTCCGAAACTGCTGATCTTTTGGGATTGTCACACACAACCATCTCTAGGGTTTCCTGAGAGTGGCCCAAAAAAGAGAAAACATCCAGTGAGCACAAGTTCTGTGGGTGAAAATGCCTTGTTGATGCCAGAGGTCAGAGGATAATGGCCAGGCTGGTTCGAGCTGATAGAAAGGCAACAGTAACTCAAAAAAACCCTTGTTACAACCAAGGTATGCAGAAAAGCATCTCTGAATGCACAACACGTGGAACCTTGAGGCAGATGTGCTACAGCAGCAGAAGACCACACCGGGTGCCAGTCCTGTCAGCTAAGAACTGGAAAATGAGGCTACAATTCACACAGGCTCACCAAAATCGGACAATAGCAGATTGGAAAAATGTTACCTCATCGGAAGAGTCTTGATTTCTGCAGCAACATTGGGATGGTAGGGTCAGAATTTGGCATCAACAACAGGAAAGCATGGATCCATCCTGCCTTGTATCAATGGTTCAGGCTGGTGGTGGTGGTGGCGTAATGGTGTTGGGGACATTTTCTTGACACACTTTGGGCCCCTCAGTACTAACTGATCATTGTTGCAAAGACGCAGCCTACCTGAGTATTGTTGCTGACCATGTCCAGTCCTTTATGACCACAGTGTACCCATCTTCTGATGGCTACTTGCAGCAGGATAATGAACCATGTCATAAAGCTGGAATCATCTCAGACTGGTTCCTTGAACATGCCAATGTGTTCATTGTACTCAAATGGCCTCCATAGTCACCAGGTCTCAATCCAATGGAGCACCTTTGGGATGTGGTAGACTGGGAGATTTGCATCATGGATGTCCAGTCGACAAATCTGCATCAACTGTGTGACGCTTTCATGTCAATATGGACCAAGATGTCTGAGGAATGTTTTCAGTACATTGTTGAATCTAAGTCACGAAAGATTAAGGCAGTTCTGAAGGCAAAAAGTGTACCTCTTACAAGGGGTACCGGGTAAAACCCGGTACTAGCAAGGTATACCCAATTAAGTGGCCAGTGGGTGTATATTGTTTTTTTTTTACTACCCTTCAAGTCATGGACGGTGGTGCCATAGCGCCCCGTATAGATTAACTGCCCCTATTCCGTTGACAGATTAGAAATGTTGATGTAATTCTTAATTTGTGAAATAAAATCCATCTGGATTTACAAGGCAGCCAATAAGAATTGAGTTAAATAAACTCAGTAAAATACCAGAAAACTCAAGATGTAAGCTAAAATCACACCTTTTAATCTACATAAAATGTCCATCCAAATATCCCCATATTTTCTTTCCTCTCAATATTTTTACTTTTAATTACAAACCTGATTGTCTTATTCCATAAACTGTAGTTTATGCTGCATGGTGCTCAGGGATGTACCAGTAGTGATTCCAGTCAGTGTTCCAGTTTACACTGACAGATGTACCAGTCAGTGATTGCAGAGAAAAACATGAACGAACATTTGATGGAAAAGCATCAACCAGAGATGAAGACATGAAGCAGTCGCCTCTGGATGGTGGTCTGTAATGGACTCACTGTGGACAGGCGGAGATGACTCACGGATCCTGATATTGGGAATACTTTTCACCTGACGCAGTGTTTTAGGCGCGGCCATCTAATCAGAGGCAGAATTACCTCCACTGCTGTTAGTACGTGCCAGGTCAATTTAGGTTCAATTCTGTTTCAGGCTGTTTTAGTTATAGTTGAAAAAACACCTTAATTTTTCCGGTGAAGAATTCTTACCTACAGTAAAATAGGTCATTTTTGTCTGCCGGCAACCTGGAGAAAGCCATTTATTCTTTTATCTCTCCCTGTTTGGACGCTGCAGGTCTCTTTTGTCCAGCATTAGTAAAAAGTCATGTCCTCTGTTTCAACTCTGCTGGTGTGCTCAGACGCGACTCGCTTCACTTCAGGTTCAGATTTAGTAATATAGAGGAGTGGGAATTTTTTGGCAATGCACCAACAATGATTAATGTCCACGTTTCTGATACCTCTGACATCACTCATTTAAATCAGTACAAAATTCGGTGCAATAATAGGTTAGTTCTTCATGTCTTACATTTTTAAAAGAGCTAAAAACAAAGTAAAAACAGCAATAACCAAATAACTGTAAAAACACAGGATGATTGCATAAAAGTTTATCATTATTATATTAGGTTACCGCCCCATATACAGTGTAACTGTTATTTGGCATACGTAAATTAAAAAGTGCAGATAAAAAATATGCAAAGTAAGAAATGGAGTACAAGTGTTATAAATTACTTAAATCATCATGAAAACAATGAGTTTTAGAGGTTTTAGTTGAGTTGTAAAAACATCCAACTGTGAAAATATTTTATATCTTCATTCATATTTTTCTCAATTTCCTTAATATGTCATTATCTTCTTCCAAGGTTCTGTATGTTTTATTATGCTGGTCACAATCATCTGGGCATCTAAAGGGTTTCATAACACTTTAAATGTGTAGTTCACTTGTTTTATCAACACATTGGCAGTGGTCTCTGGTAGGAATGAATGCCTTGCGAGCCATACTCAGGGCAATAAAAGCCCAGAAACAGCTGGATCAGGACAGACAAGTCTGCTGCTGCAGAGGCTGGAAGAACACGGCAGAATTTGGAGTCTTATTTTCTGATATTTGGATATCTCTCCTTGGATTGGATAACAGCAACGCCTTCACAAACAACACAAGCCTGGAGGAGTTTTGCTGTGTGGTGGTTTTGCTAATAATAACGGTTAGCTTCTACTAGTCAGGACGTTGTCTGCTCGTCTGTTTCTTGGACATTAAAACAACAACAACCTTCCTCGTCACGGTTCAAGATGGGTGAGTCCATGAATGTTAAGTGACAGTGTGTTGTAGATCTGTCAGGCTTTTCTAATCCTAGAGTTTCACCGTCTATTTTCTATCAAAAGCTAATGCAGGAGATAGGTGTAGGAGACATGTTCAGTCTGCATGAAAAACTGACCGATTAAATTTAGAAATAATATTTTAAAATGTTTGTTCAGAATTTCACAACTTTAAATTAAAAGAGCCCCAATTTTTTTTGTCTAAGCAGCCATTTTTACACACATTTTAATTGTAATAAACACAAATATGTAGATAGTGCAGAGCAGTCTGCATCTCTGAGTTTCAAACAGCTGTTTCAGAGGCACCACTGGCTGCTGTGAACATGGTGGAGGAGTCAAGGAGAAAACGTCGGAGCTCTAACAGGCTAATTAACCCCTAACCTGGCACGTCAGCTGCTTGGTACAGCACAGTTTAGTCCCTACATCTCACTGAAACAGCCACTGAACTTCACTAAACAAATGGAGATGTTTGAGTAATTGGTGAGACATTAATACATTTCAGTAATATTAACTGTGGAAACACAGAGATGTCATGTTATCAAGTGATAATTTAATTGGCCATACAATATAATGTGGACATTTGAACATTAAACTATCATGTTCTATACATGTTTATCACATTTGCACAGTGCTGCACAAACATGACAAACGTGTATAGTGTAAAGACATGATATAATGTTAAAATAATAAAATGATCACATCATAATGTGATATCGCTCTAGTTTTAGTTTGCAAGGGTGGCATCTCAGCGTTTTTGTAGCCAGCTCATTAACAATCTTGATTTTAATATTAATTTGCATTATACGACCGGAAAAGGGTGGCTTGCCAACTCCGGGTCGGGGGAGAGGTCCTACCTCAAGTGGAGGAGTTTAAGTATCTCGGGGTCTTGTTCACGAGTGAGGGTAGGAGGGATCGGGAGATCGACAGGCGGATTTGTTCGGCGTCTGCAGTGATGCGGACGCTGAGCCGATCTGTCGTGGTGAAGAGGAGCTGAGCCAGAAAGCCAGACTCTCGATTTACCGGTCGATCTACGTCCCAATCCTCACCTATGGTCATGAGCTTTGGGTAATGACCGAAAGAACGAGATCGCGGATACAAACGGCCGAAATGAGTTTCCTCCGTAGGGTGGCCGGGCTCAGCCTTAGAGATAGGGTGAGGAGCTCGGACATTCGGGAGGGACTCGGAGTAGAACCGCTGCTCCTCCGTATCGAAAGGAGCCAGTTGAGGTGGTTTGGGCATCTGGTCAGGATGCCTCCTGGACACCTCCCCGGGGAGGCGTTTCGGGCATGTCCTGCCGGCAGGAGGCCCCCGGGTCGACCCAGGACACGTTGGAGAGGTTACATCTCCAATCTGGTCCGGGAACGCCTTGGCGTCCTGCCGGAGGAACTGGTGGAGGTGGCCGGGGAGAGGACGGTCTGGAGCTCCCTAGTTGGGATGCTGCCCCTGCGACCCGGACCCGGATAAGCAGAGGAAGACGATGACAACAAATTTGCATTATGGTGTAACTTTCATTGCCCTGAATGAATGAGAAATGCAAAAATAACTAAATAAATTAAGACGTATATAATTTTTTTTCTTGTTAGAATTTAAAGACTTAAAACCCAAACACCTCATACATATAATCGGGGATGCCTCTTGAAGATGGAGGAATTCTTTCAGCTAAGTTTCAAGATGAGTTTCTTTTTATTATTTAAATTCTCACAGTAACAAACATTTGGTGACACCAACCATCCTACAGGTCTGTCTTCTCTTTTCAGATAAACCCAAACACTAATGATCTTTAAGAAGATAACAGAAAAAGCGTCAAAATGGCATTTGTGAATGTTAAACGTTTTATAGGTACAGCAGTAGCTCAGGAGGTAGAGCGGGTTGTCCAGCAATCAGATGGTTGCAGGTTCAATCCGACCAGAGAATGCTGCTGTTGTGTCCTTGGGCAAGACAATTAACCCGCCTTGCCTGCTGTTGGTGTTTAGAGGGAGCGGTGGCGCCAGCGTTTGACAGGCCTCACCTCTGTCAGTGTGCCCCAGGGCAGCTGCGGCTACATCGTAGCTCATCACCACCAGCGTGTGAATGTCTGAATAACTGACTGTGTGCGCTTTCGGGGGTTGTAGAACCCTAAGAAGGCGCTATACAAATGCAGGCCATTTACCATTTATAAAATGTTCACAGATGAAAACATTCACCGATTTAATTATTGATTTTTTTGTTGCCCTTCATTGCATTCCTCTGAAGGAGATTTATTAAGTTTGTGCTTGCATTTAAATTTTTTATTTTTTCACAAATCACCAAAGAATTACAGGGAAGGACAGAGATTCCTGCAGACAGAAACAACTCAAAGGAAATAGAGCAAAAACTTTGAATGGTTGTGTGTGATGTCAGCTGTCCCATCCTCTCCAAAATATCCGAATCTGCCCTGAAAACACACTTCAGTGGCCCAGCTCTCCCTCTTAGCGCTTGCATTATTTTAGTCCC